AAGGAAGGGAGAGAGGGAGGGAGGGAGGGAGGGAGGAAGGGGAGGGAAGAAGGGGAGGGAAGGAAGAGGAGGAAGGGAAGGAAGGAAGAACAAAAGCAGCAGCATGGTTCTGACACAAAACAGATGTGTAAGTCAATAGGATACAACTGAGTAGAGCACCGAGCGATGAACCCATGCAGCTATAATAAAACTAAGGTAAAGCTGGATATGGGTTCTCATACTTTGAGCTACATAGGGAGAGTCTTTCTCCAAAAACGAAGCAAAACCAAGGTGAACAACTTAGAAGGTAACAAAGACCTATGAGTAGGAGGAAATGCTTAGACACAGTCTTGAAAGAGGCAGGATTTACACTCTCTCACACACACACTCTCTTATACACACATGCATACACTCTCATATATACCTACTTATAAGTACATATACACAAATGTCCACATATCCACACAAGACATGTTCAGGTATACACATGCAAAGAGACAAAGAGACATGAGACCTATGCACAGTGACCCATGTAAATGCATGCACACAAACAAGAAGGAAATATGCATACCTGCACACATGTAACTCCACATACCTTACACAGACATACTTCCCCCACAGCCTATCTCCACTTCCCACCCTCATCAATACCCACATGACCGGAGTAGCTATTCCTCCACTGTCTCTTCTTTTTACAGTAAGTACTGGGTTTCATTATAATGTCCATATCTGATAATAAATGTATGTTTTTAAACATACAGCCAATAATAATAGTAATAATAATAATCTTTTTGTGAAGTACTGAGTGACTGAACTAGAGACTCAAACATGCTAGCTAAGTGGTCTAACACTTAAACCATGTCACCAGCCCTCTGTTTTGAGACAGTGTCTTGATGACTTGAACTGGTGATTCTCCTGTCTTCCCCTCCTGAGTAGCTATGATTACAGGCTTGTGCCATCACGTGCAACCATATCCTCTAGTTATAACCAAAGTAGAATTCAGTTGAGAAAGGGAACCTGTCTGCCCTTCAACTTTCACAACCACATGCCTAAGATGATAGCAGCTGGCACACAGAAACCTTGAGAGCCCCAAGCTAGGAGAAGAGTCTAGATCCTCCTGGGAAAGTATCCATGATATATCAGACCTTGTCCTCGACTCATACTTCCATGGCCCAGCTGATGGGAAGGGCCCAGAAAGCAGACAAGAACACATGGGACAAGCCATGGGGACAGGTAGAACCTGATTCATCTTAAGAATGGAGTGTCACACTGTTAGCAGGTCATGAGGAGGAGGCTCAAGAAAGGTGCTTGGATCTAGGGCATCTACCCAGAACATCACAAGGCAGGACACTGCAAAGATACTTGTACATCCATGTTCACTGCTGCACTGTTCACAATAGCCAAGTTATAGAAATGGCCCAGATGCCAAAAGGGAACCCTACTGCATTGTTGGTGGGAGTGTAAACTTGTTCAACCACTTTGGAAAGCAGTATGAGTCCCAAGATAGGGATACAAGTGGTTTTTTCTTCCTTGCTATTGTTTCTAACGTATTTATAAGGTACCATGTGATTTTTTTGTTGCTTTGCGTGTCCCTCCCCCAAGGTATAACCCCTGTTTTCACTGTATTTGATGTTGGTATCATTTGGGGAGGGGAAGGGAAAAAACAAATTGTTTAAATAGGGATACAGATTGACCCAATGCAACAATGAGATGTACAAGACGCTATGTCAAAAAACTAACTTTACAATTTAGGTGTGTGTGGGAGCGTGTAGCTGAGGAGGTGGGAGGGAAGGGATGGTAGGGGAAAAACAAAGGAGGAGGCAACAATGCTGGATAAGAAATGTACTCATTACCTTGCTCACGTAATTGTAACCCCTCTGTACGGTATTTTCACAATAAAAAACTTAATTTTAAAAAAAAGGATGATATGCAGTGTGATGTGATGGTAGCCTCAGTTCTTTTGCGTGAATTTAGATTGGAATTTAGGGTTGAGTTCTAGGCTTTTCTATAAATCAGAATATTAAACAGATAACAGAACAGATCCAACTCCATGACCCACACCACCTCAATAGAAGTACGTACAAGTAGTCCAAGGACACAGATTACCAGGAAAGTGCTTGTAACAATTCCTTACATTCTTGTTGAACAAACATTACAAATTTCCTTCTCATTCAAATCACAGCTAGTGTCAAGACAAGATGCAAGATATTTGTTGCCATTTACTTCAAAGCCAGGCAATGACTATCTATCTATCTCTATGTATACATGTATACACATACACACATATACAACCACATTTTTCCCATGAATATCTTTCATCTTACATTTTATACTATGATGAGGATCAAACCTAGGGCCTCATGCATGCCAATAATCATTTTATCACTAATCACTACTGCCAACCTTATTTAATATTTAAGAAATACTTTCCTACTCAATAGACACTATTTTGAAAATGAACTATACAACTTGTGGATGGGAATGAGAGGGGAAAACAAGGGAAGGAAAAAAAGGAAGGAGTGACATTGTCTAAAAAGAAATGTACTCATTGCCTTACATATGCAACTGTAACCCCTCTGTACATCACCTTTATGATAACAATTTAAAATAGTTAAATAGCTATGTACATATGACCATATATGATGATGCTAAGTGAACTCCAAGATATGGAAACAAGAGATATGGAATCTTTGTTGTTGTTGTTGTTGTTGTTAATGTATTATGTGATTTCTTTTTTCTTTCTACTTTTTTTTAACCTATGGTTTATCCCCTGTTGTTACTGTATTTGATTTTGGTACCCTGGGTATTGTATATAAGTTTATCTGAATGAGGGGAGGGAAGGGGGACAAAAAAATGATGAGACAAAGGGCAAAGGGTGAACCAATGCAACAGCAATACTTACAAGAAAACATGCTGGAAATAAACCCAACAACATTGGGTGGACGTTAAGGGGGAGGGAAAGTGGGAGAAAAATGAGGGAGGGGGTAACAAGTTCGACAACAAATGTACTCCCTACCTTACTATGTAACTGTAACCCCTCTGTACATCACCTTGACAATAAAATTAACTTTAAAAAAATAACAAAAGAAAGAAAGAAAGAAAAGACTCCACATAGAGCTCCCCTACTACCCAGCAATCCCACTTTTGGGCATTTACCCAAACTATCACAAACAAGACCATACTAAAGCTACCAGCACAACTATGTTTATCGCAGCATTATTTACCATAGCTAAGATATGGAACCAACCCAGATGCCCCTCAGTAGATGAATGGATCAAGAAAATGTGGTATATCTATATAATGGAATTCTATGCCTCCATCAGAAATAATGACACCGCATTATTTGTTAGGAAATGGAAAGACTTGGAAAAATTATATTAAGTGAAGTAAGACAGGCCCAAAGGAACATAGGTCCCATGGTTTCCCTTATTTGCAATAACTAGTATAAGTCAAGGATAAGCAGAAAAGTCAAAAGCTATGTACATACGACCATATAGATGATATTAAGTGAAATGAACCCCAAGATAGGGACATAACTCTTTTTTTTTCTTGCTATTGTTTTTTAACATCTTTAAAATGTACTATGTGATTTTTTTTGCTTCTTTTGTATGTGCTTCCCCCATGATATAACCCCTGTTTTCACTGTATTTGATGTAGGTGCCCTGTATCTTATATATACATTTTTCTAATTTGGGGAGGGGAAGGGAAATAACAAAATGCTGAAATAAGGATACAGGTTGACCCATTGTAACAATGAGATGTACAAGACACTATGTTGAAAACCAACTTTACAACTTGGGGGCAGGGAGGGGAAAGGGAGGAGGTGAGGAGGTGAGGAGGAAAGGGATGTTAGGCAATAAACAAAGGAGGAGGTAACAACACTGGATAGGAAATGTACTCATTACCTCACTCATGAAACTGTAGCCCCTCTGGTACACTATTTTTACATTTAAAAACTAAATAAAAAAAGAAATGGCCCACATGCCCTACAATAGATGATTAGACCCAAAATTTGTGGTATCCATGCACATTTTACACTACCATTAGAAAGAATAATATTATGTCATTTGTAGGGAAATGAATGGACCTGGAACAAATCATGTTTAGGGAGGTAAGTCAACCTCAGAGAGACCAACAGCACAAGTTTTCACTCTTATACAGAAGCTAGATCTAAAATACACAGCGACATGATAAATTATACAGGACTCTAGGCATTCACACACATTGAGACCAAAGGAGGATACTCTTAATGCCTCTGTGCCTCAGATCATATAAAATAATACTGTCAAGAATTCCAGGAAATGGTGAGGGTTTTTTTCCTTTTTGTCTTATTTCCTCATTTATCTGTCTTTGGGGGAGTAAGAGAGACATAGAAATGGAGGGACAATGGGTGAATAAATGTAGCAGTGGTACTTAGTAAACATGTTGAAAATGAACTATACAACTTGTAGGCAAAGGGCAGGAAGGAAAAACTGGGAGAGAGCCCAGGAAGGGGTGATACTATCCAAAAAGAAATACACTCATGACCTGACTGATGAAACAGTCACCCCTCTGTACATCAGCTTTACAATGACAATAAAAAAGAAGCGTCCTTGGTCATGGTGTGGTGGCTGCCACTGTGACCACTAACACTCCTCTATAACTCCTGGCACCTCAGACAGGCCAGTATGCTCTGGGATTAAACTTACTGGACCAAGACCTAGGATGATGCCTACCTCAACCCCTGCTCTCTTGAGTTCTCTGGCCAGCAGGTCAGTTGGTTGCACAATTTCATTCATCTGGCCAACAACTGCCTCATCTTCCCAAGGTTATCTATTCCACAACCCCAAATATCAACACAAAGCCCCAGGAAGTATAAGCCCTATCACCACAGGGTAAACTGAGATTTGGATGTGACAAAGGTGAGCTATTCCCTCTATTTCACAGTCATAAGTCAAGTAACCCACGTGGCTGACGCCCACATGGCCTAGAAAGAGAGAGACAGAGAGAACAAAGGGCCAGTTCACTCTGCAGCCACTGACCTGCTTCTCGTTTTCATCCTCCAAACGTAGCCGGTCCTCGATGCAATTCCTAGCCTGCAAAAAGGCCTTCCTCTGTGAGCGCTCGGTCAGGATCCGCACGAAGACACCGTACATGTTCACACCAACGAAGAGCAAGGCATTGGCACCGAGCTATAAGGAGAGAACAGATCATCTGTGTGGGGATTGAATGGACCAAGTGCCACAGGGCTCAGCCCATCCAGTGAGTGCCCAAGGCTCCCCAACAACCCCGCAGCCAGCTTTGAAACCGTCACAGTCTTTGCAAGCACATCCAGACCCACAGTGAAGGGGAGTTGCGGCAATATGGGGACAGCAATGACTGTGTTTGCCCAGGCACGAACTGAATCTAAGTCCAGCAAGAATTCCGAGTCTGAATTCTGTCACTTTCTAAATTATGACGTTAAAACCCTAGTCCCCAGGAGCTCAGAACTTGACTATATTTTGAGGTAACATCCTTAAAAAGGTACTTGAGGCAAAAATTTAAAAAATGTAGGCTCTTATCTAATCTGACCAATGTCCATTATAAGAAGAGAAGATTAGGACAAAGACACAGAGGCATAACCACCACAGGAGGCTTCAGAGAGAAGATGGTGGCTCCCAGTAAAGGAGCGGCCTGGGGGAAAGCCAGCCCCAGCCATGCCTGGATCTCTAACTTCCTACCACATTTCTGGTATTTCAGCCCTGACTTTCTGTAACTTTCACCCAAGCAAATCGATCTATGTAGAATCACTGTGAAAAGTCACTATATCCAAATGGCGCAGAAGGCCGACAAAGATTCTGAAGAGGTGAGACGACAGCAGTAGAACCCAGAATGTTCATCTGAGCATGAAGTACACCCTGGCAAAGGGGAAGCATGGTGTCTAGAGGCCTACTTCTGTGTGGCCCGGGTGCCCCTCCTGTGCAGTGGCCAGCCTGCAAGGGAGGCTGTGATGGCCAAATCCGGAGACTGCTATGAATGAAGCCCAGACCAAAAGGGCTACAGATCAGATTAAAACAGAATCCCAGGAATACAGTGTTCATGATGTCAGAGTCCTGACCTGACTGCAGTCAAGATCCAACAAGACCAGAATATTCCTTGCAAGAACAGAAGAAGACCAAGAGGCCTCTCCTGCCATTCATACTACTGTGGGTACTCACCAAGGCCTATTACTCACCGTGACTTAACACTCACCATGACCTAATACCATGACCTAATACTCACCACAACCTAACACTCACCATGACCAAACACTCACCACAACCTAACACTCACTATGACCTAACACTTACCACAGCCTAACACTCACCATGACCACCAAGACCTAACACTCACTGTGACGTCACATCATGACCTAACACTCAACTCACTTGACCTAACTGAGCACCCACTGTGACCTAACATTCACCATGTCCTAACTGAACACCCACTGTGATCTAACAGGGACTGTGACCTAAATATGTCACTATGGCCTGAGTGTGCATTGTGACATGAGCATCTCTCTGAGACCTGCACTCATTGTAACCTGAACTCAGTGTGACCTGATAACCTCATTATGAGTTGCACATCCACAGTTATCTGAACCATCATCTGGACATTTCACTATCACCTAAAATCCCGCTACAACCAAAACTTCTCAATGGACTCTGATGTCTCTCAGTGAGCTGAAGATGTCACTGTGTTCAGATCTCATCACTGTGACATCAACATCTCACTGTTACTCAAGCATCATATTGGGTCCTGACCTTCTCCCTGTGACCTGACATTTCATTCTAACTTTAAACCCTAAAGTGACCAGCACGTCACTGGAACTGGACTGGACTATCTCTGTGATATGTATCTCTCAGTATCAGCTGAAAAAATCTCACCATACCCTGAACATGTCACTGTGCCCTCAAGGTCTTGCTATGTGACCTGAACAATTCATTCTAATGACCCAAGCATATCACTGTGACCTCAGCCAGGCTTCTCCCCGTGACCTAGTGTCCACCATGACCCAAACATCTCCCTGTAACCCCCACGTCATTCTAAGCTGAGCTTCTCACTGTGACTGAACATCCAAATACAGCCTAAATATCTGACTGTGACCTGAACATCCACCATGAGCTGAGTTCTTGCTATTATCTAATGTTTCCTTTGGCTTCAGGATCTCACTGTGAACCCAACATCTTTGTGAGTGAGTGTCCATGATTACTGTCACTGTGAAATGACATGAGCATCACCTGAGACCTGAGCACCTTGCTGCCACCTGTGACCTGAGCATCTTACTATAACCTGTGACCTGCGACCTGACCACCTCACTGCAACCTGTACATCCCATTGTGGTGGGAACAACCCAATGTGACCTGACATCCAGGTGTGATCCTAACACCTTATGGTGAGCAGAACTTGTCACTCTGACCTGAACATCACTGGGATATTTCATTGTCATCTAGACTTTTGCTGCATCCTGACCATCTCACTTCAACCTGAAAATCTTCACATAACCTGGATTATCTTATGTGACCTGAACTCCTTCTAAACTAACCATCCTACCATGTCTGTGAATGGAATGTCTCACCATGATCAGAGCATGTCATAGGACCTCAACACCTCACTATGACTTGAACACCTCACTGTGGACAGGTTTCCTCACATCACCAAGTATCCAAATGAACCCTAAACACCTCACTGTGACCTGAGCATCATATTGTGACATGACCATCTGACTCTGACTTGAACACCTCACTACAACACCAGAAATGTGCCATGATTGAATTACCTCACTGTGGCTAACAGCTCACTGTGGCCTGCATACCTCAGTGTGACCAGAAGGTAACTGTAATCTGACCCTAACATGCACTTGTGCCCTGAACACCTCATTGTGAAGGGGAACAGAACCAGATTATATCACCACAACTAGAAGGTTGCTGTGACTTGAACATTCCACTGTGACCTTAATATCTCAACTAGAACATCCAACTATGGCCTGAACATCTCAATGTGACCTGAACAGATATGTCCAGAACATCCCCTCATACCCCACTATGATGGGCATATATCTTACTGTGACCTGAACATCTTATCTGACAACAAAGAATGGTGTACTCTAACTTAATAACTTGCTATGACATGAACATCTTATTTGACAAGAACAACCTACTCTAACTTAATATCCTACTGTGACAAGAACATCTCACTGTGACCCAAGCCTTCTATGTCCTGAACATGTCACCATGAATTGAACGTTTCTCTGTGAGCAGAGCATGTCGTAATGGTTTGAATGTTTCACTGTGTCTTTATTATCTCACTGTGATGTAAACATCTCAAGGTGACATGGATGTTTCTCTGTGACTCAATGCACGGGGACCTGATCCCCTCAACACAGCCTGCACATCTCACTGCATCCTGGACTCCTCACTGGACCTGATGTCCTAGGATGAAGTGCACGTCTGTGTGACCCCAGTCTCTCCTTTGAACAGAACACATCACTGTGACCTGAACATCTCACTTTCACAAGATTATAGCAAAGCGACCTGAACAGCATCACACTGTGGTTTGAACATCTTACTGTGATCTAGCATCCACCAGGATCAGACCATAGCACATGATCTGAATGGGTCACTATGAGCCAGATATCTAACTGTGACAAAGTATCTTCCTGTAACACAAATATCTCATTGTGACACAATCCCATTATTGCAACATCTCATAGTGACAGGAACAGATCACTACTGCTAGAACAGCTCACTATAACAGGGCCTACACTGTCCAACGAAACACCCAAAGACAAAGAGTGTCAGATCCCAAACACAATGCCTGAGGTCACATGTCTGGATCCCAGCACTGGGGACAGGATGTTGGGAGTACTATAGTCCCTGCACATGCTAGGATGGACATCATGGTCACCAGGCAAGTGACCACAGCCTCACCAGCCCCTTTAGTGGGGGGAGGCCAGAGTGGGCATGCCTGAAGGGTAGCAGTATGTCTTAGGACAACATCACACACTGTCAAGACATGTGGCACTGATGGGTGATGTGGCTGGCAATCCAACACCATGGGGGTCTGGAAAGAGCCAGGCCACCAGCTGAGCTGAAAGACCGGCAGAAGGACCTGCATGGGAGGCTACCACCCACCTCCTAAAGGAAGTAAATGACAGGCAGACCCCAACTCTTAAAATAAAACCCATAATTCCCTTTTGAGATCTGCCCACATCATAGCTTCCTTTCTCCAGTGTTCTTCCTGGAACACAATGGGCTCAGCTTAGAGCATCTGAAAGGGAGTTGACAGCTGGTACACTCATTGTCAGGATGGCTGACCAGTCCTGGGGGCCATTCCTTCCTACCCATGTGCATCAGAGCACTTGAACATGATGTCAGCAGGTTATGGGGGCATGAGAAAGAACAGGCTGTCCCCTCATCTCCACAGAGGTGCCCTGAGCCTCCAGACTCAGCAGCTAGAAGTTCATCTTTCCATTTCTATTAGCTACAGATCTACGTTCCTCAGGATGGGACAGGATCTGCCCTCAGGCTGTAGATGCCAATTACCTGTGAGCCCTCAAGAGGAAAGAATTCTTTGAGTCAAATAGCCAGGCCCATCTGAGCTGAGCATACCTCCTAGCAGGAAAACCCACTAAGAGAACATAAGGGAACAGGGGAAGGGACACTTCAGTAAGACCTGATGGTGTCATCAAGTGCCTTTCACATGCCCAGGGCTTGCTCACCAGCCCTGGAACCCAGCATCTTCCTGGTATCTGGTATCTGGTACTTTCACTCAATGGCTGGCACTCCACCACCTGAGCAACACCTTCAACCCCTACTTTGTGGCAGGAGGGGGTCATAGGATAGTGAGGGAAGAGACTGGGGTGGAACACAGGGTCATAAGCAACTGCAGAATACACATGGGTTTAGCTTAATTTAGACACAGATAAGAATATGCACAAATATTTATAGAAATGCACATATATATGCATTTTCTTCTTCTCAGTACAAGAGACTGAACTCAGGACCTCATGCTTGCTAGGCAAGCACTCTACCACTTAACTTTCAACCTCAGCCCTTTGCTTTTAGTTTGTTTGTTTTTCAAATAAGTTCTAGCTTTTCCCTGAAGCCAAGTAGCTGCGATTACAGAAATACTCCATCATGCCCAGCCTCTACAAATATATTTTGTAACTCTC